AGACGGGCGCGAGCCGCGGCTAAAAGCGCGGACCCCAGAGACGGGCATGAGACGCCAAGGCCGGTGCTGCCGCCACCAAGAAGCCTGTGTGCGAGCACAGGTCACTATCCCCACCTCCCTTACAGGGAGACTGTGCAGCCAGCCACTGCCAGGGTCCCGGCATCCAGGGACAACTTCCCCGGGAGAACGCACGGCGGGCCTCAGGCTGGTGCAACGTCACGCCGGCCTCTGCCGCCGCAGGGTTGCCCCGCATCCGTACCCCTCCCTCCCCCCGGCCTGAGTGAGCCAGAGTCACCGAATCAGCTGCTCCTTTAACCCCGTCCTGTCTGAGCGGGAACAGACGCCCTTTGGCGACCTACACGCAGAGGAGGGGCCAAATCCAAAGCTGAACCCCAGGAGCTGTGCGAACAAAGAAGAGGAAGGGAAATCTCTCCCAGCTGCCTCAGGAGCAGCGGATTAAATCTCCACAATCAACTTGATGTACGCTGCATCTGTGGAATACGTGAATAGACAACGAATCATCCCAAATTGAGAAGGTGGACTTTGGGAGCAACTGCAGACTTGGGGTTTGCCTTCTGCATCTAATTTGCTTCTGGTTTTACGTTTATCGCAGTTTAGTATTTAGAGTTTATTATCATTGGTAGATTTGTTTATTGATTTGGTTGCTCTCTTCCTTTTTTTCCTAATATATAGGTATATATATTTTTTCCCTTTTGCTCCTTTTGTGAGCATGTATGTGTATGCTTCTTTGTGTGATTTTGTCCGTATAGTTTTGCTTTTACCCTTTCTCCTAGGGTTCTGTCTGTCCCTTTTTTTTTTTTTTTTTTTTTGTATAGTTTTTATTTAGGGCTTGTTATCATTGGTAGATTTTTTTTTTTTTGGTTTGGTTGCTCTCTTCTTTCTTTTCTTTATTACTTTTTAATTTTTGTATCCTTAATATTTTTCTTTTACTTTTTACTTTAATAATTTTATTTTATTATTATTTTTTCCTTATCTCTTTCTTTTTTTCTCCCTTTTCTTCTGAGCCGTGTGGCTGACAGGGTCTTAGTGCTCCGGCTGGGTGTCAGGCCTGTGCCTCTGAGACAGGAAAGCCGAGTTCAGGGCATTGGTCCACCATAGACCTCCCAGCTCCACGTAATATGAAATGGCAAAAGCTCTCCCAGAGATCTCCATCTCAAAGACCCAGCTCCACTCAACAACCAGCAAGATACAGTACTGGACACCCTATGCCAAACAATGAGCAAGACAGGAAAACAACCCCACCCATTAGCAGAGAGGCTGCCTAAAATCATAATAAGTCCACAGACACCCCAAAACACACCACCAGACACTGTCCTGCCCACCAGAAAGACAAGATCCAGCCTCATCCACCAGAAGAAAGGGACCAGTCCCCTCCACCAGGAAGACTACACAACCCACTGAACCAAGCTTAGCCACTGGGGGCAGAAACCAAGAACAATAGGAACTACGAACCTGCAGCCTGCAAAAAGGAGACCCCAAACACAGTAAGTTAAACAAAATGAGAAGAAAGAGAAACACACAACAGATGAGGGAGCAAAGTAAAAACCCACCAGACCTAACAAATGAAGAGGAAATAGGCAGTCTACCTGAAAAAGAACTCAGAGTAATGATAGTAAAGATGATCCAAAATCTTGGAAATAGAAAGGAGAAAATACAAGAAACATTTAACAAGGACCTAGAAGAACTAAAGAGCAAACAAGCAATGATGAACAACACAATAAATGAAATTAAAAATTCTCTAGGAGGGATCAACAGCAGAATAACTGAGGCAGAAGAACGGATAAGTGACCTGGAAGATAAAATAGTGCAAATAACTACCACAGAGCAGAATGAAGAAAAAAGAATGAAAAGAACTGAGGACAGTCTCGGAGACCTCTGGGACAACATTAAATGCAACAACGTTCGAATTATAGGGGTCCCAGAAAAAGAAGAGAAAAACAAAGGGACTGAGAAAATATTAGAAGAGATTATACTTGAAAACTTCCCGAATATGGGAAAGGAAATAGTCAATCAAGTCCAGGAAGCACAGAGAGTCCCATACAGGATAAATCCAAGGACAGACACGCCAAGACACATATTAATCAAACTGCCAAAAATTAAATAAAAAGAAAAATATTAAAAACAGCAAGGGAAAAACAACAAATAACATACAATGGGATCCCCATAAGGTTAACAGCTGATCTTTCAGCAAAAACTCTGCAAGCCAGAAGGGAGTGGCAGGACATATTTAAAGTGACGAAAGGGAAAAACCTACAACCAAGATTACTCTATCCAGCAAGGATCTCATTCAGATTCGATAGAGAAATTAAAACCTGTGCAGACAAGCAAAAGCTGAGATTTCAGCACCACCAAACCAGCTTTACAACAAATGCTAAAGGAACTTCTCTAGGCAGGAAACACAAGAGAAGGAAAAGACCTACAAAAACAAACCCAAAACAATTAAGAAAATGGTAATAGGAACATACATATCGATAACTACCTTAAATGTAAATGGATTAAATGCTCCAACCAAAAGACACAGACTGGCTGAATGCATAGAAAAACAAGACCTGTATATATGCTGTCTACAAGAGACCCACATCAGACCTAGGGACACATACAGACTGCAAATGAGGGGATGGAAAAGATATTCCATGAAAGTGTAAATCAAAAGAAAGCTGAACTAGCAATTCTCATACCAGACAAAACAGACTTTTTTAAAATAAAGACTATTACAAGAGACAAAGAAGGACACTACATAATGATCAAGGGATCAATCCAAGAAGATATAACAATTACAAATATTTATGCACCCAACAAAGGAGCACATCAATACATAAGGCAAAAACTAACAGCCATAAAAGGGGAAATTGACAGTAACACAATCATAGTAGGGGACTTTAACACCCCACTTTCACCAATGGACAGATCATACAAAATGAAAATAAATAAGGAAACACAAGCTTTAAATGACACATTAGACAAGATGGACTTAACGGACATTTATAGGACATTCCATCCAAAAACAACAGAATACACTTTCTTCTCAAGTGCTCATGGAACATTCTCCAGGATAGATCATATCCTGGGTCACAAATCAACCCTTGGTAAATTTAAGAAAATTGAAACTGTATAAAGTATATCTCCCGACCACAATGCTATGAGACTAGATATCAATTACATGAAAAAAATCTGTAAAAAATACAAACACATGGAGGCAAAACAATATACTACTTCATAACCAAGAGATCACTGAAGAAATCAAAGAGGAAATAAAAAAATTCCTAGAAACAAATAACAATGAAAACATGACGACACAAAAACTATGGGATGCAGCAAAAGCAGTTCTAAGAGGAAAGTTTATAGCAATAGAATCCTACCTTAAGAAACAAGACACATCTCAAATAAACCTAACCTTACAACTAAAGCAATTAGAGAAAGACGAACAAAAAAACCCCAAAGTTAGCAGAAGGAAAGAAATCATAAAGATCAGATCAGAAGTAAATGTAAAAGAAATGAAGGAAACGATAGCAAAGATCAATAAAACTAAAAGCTGGTTCTTTGAGAAGATAAACAAAATTGATTAATCATTAGTCAGACTCATCTTTAAAAAAAAGGGAGAAGACTCAAATCAATAGAATTAGAAATCAAAAAGGAGAAGTAACAAGTGACACTACAGAAATACCAAGGATCCTAAGAGATTACTGCAAGCAACTATATACCAATAAAATGGATAACCTGGAAGAAATGGACAAATTCTTAGAAATGCACAACCTTCCAAGACTGTATCAGGAAGAAACAGAAAATATAAACAGACCTATCAGAAGCACTGAAATTGAGACTGTGATTAAAAATCTTCCAACAAACAAAGGCCCAGGACCAGATGGCTTCACAGGCGAATTCTATCAAACATTTAGAGAAGAGCTAACACCTATCCTTCTCAAACTCTTCCAAAATATAGCAGAGGGAGGAACACTCCCAAACTCATTCTGAGACCACCATCACCCTGATACCAAAACCAGACAAAGATGTCACAAAGGAAGAAAACTACAGGCCAATATCACTGATGAACATAGATGCAAAAATCCTCAACAAAATACTAGCAAACAAAATCCAACAGCACGTTAAAAGGATCACACACCATGATCCAGGGCAGCTTATCCCAGGAACGCAAGGATTCTTCAATATATGCAAATCTATCAATGTGATAAAACATATTAACAAATTGAAGGAGGAAAACCACATGATCATCTCAATAGATGCAGAAAAAGCTTTCGACAAAATTCAACACCCATTTATAATAAAAACCTTCCAGAAAGTGGCTTAGAGGGAACTTACCTCAACACAATAAAGGCCATATATGACAAACCCACAGCCAGCATTGTTCTCAATGGTGAAAAACTGAAACCATTTCCTCTAAGATCAGGAAGAAGACAAGGTTGTCCATTCTCACCATTATTATTCAACACAGTTTTGGAAGTTTTAGCCACAGCAATCAGAGAAGAAAAGGAAATAAAAGGAATCCAAATCGGAAAAGAAGAAGTAAAGCTGTCACTGTTTGCAGATGACGTGATACTATACATAGAGAATCGTAAAGATGCCACCAGAAAACTTCTAGAGCTAATCAATGAATTTGGTAAAGTAGCAGGATACAAAATTAATGCACAGAAATCTCTGGCATTCCTATACACAAATGATGAAAAATCTGAAAGAGAAATTAAGGAAACACTCCCATTTACCACTGCAGCAAAAAGAATAAAATACCTAGGAATAAACCTACCTAAGGAGACAAAAGACCTGTATGCAGAACACTATAAGACACTGAAGAAAGAAATTAAAGATGATACAAACAGATGGAGAGATATACCATGTTCTTGGATTGGAAGAATCAACACTGTGAAAGTGACTATACTACCCAAAGCAATCCACAGATTCAATGCAATCCCTGTCAAACTACCAATGGCATTTTTCACAAAACTAGAACAAAAAATTTCACAATTTGTATGGAAACACAAAAGACCCTGAATAGCCAAAGCAATCTTGAGAAAGAAAAACACAGCTGGAGGAATCAGGCTCCCTGACTTCAGACTATACTACAAAGCTAAAATAATGAAGACAGTGTGGTCCTGGCACAAAAAACAGAAATATAGATCAGGGAATAGGATAGAAAGCCCAGAGATAAACCCATGCACATATGGTCACCTTATCTTTGATAAAGGTGGCAGGAATATACAGTGGAGAAAGGACAGCCTCTTCAATAAGTGGTGCTGGGAAAATTGGATAGGTACATGTAAAAGTATGAGATTAGATCACTCCCTAACACCATACACAAAAATAAGCTCAAAATGGATTAAAGACCTAAATGTAAGGCCAGAAACTATCAAACTCTTAGAGGAAAACATAGGCAGAACACTCTATGACATAAATCACAGCAAGATCCTTCTTGACCCATCTCCTAGAGTAATGGAGATAAAAACAAAAATAAACAAATGGGACCTAATGAAACTTCAAAGCTTTTGCACAGCAAAGGAAACCATAAACAAGACGAAAAGACAACCCTCAGAATGGGAGAAAATAGGTGCAAATGAAGCAACTGACAAAGGATTAATCTCCAAAACTTACAAGCAGCTCATGCAGCTCAATATCAAAAAAACAAACAACCGAATCCAAAAATGGGCAGAAGACCTAAACAGATATTTATCCAAAGAAGATATACAGATTGCCAACAAACTCTTGAAAGGATGCTCAACATCACTAATCATTAGAGAAATGCAAATCAAAACTACAATCAGGTATCACCTCACACCAGTCAGAATGGCCACCATCAAAAAATGTAAAAACAATGCTAGAGAGGGTGTGGAAAAAAGGGAACCCTCTTGCACTGTTGGTGGGAATGTATATTGATACAGCCATTATGGAGAACAGTATGGAGGTTCTTCAAAAAACTAATAATAGACGTACCATATGACCCCACAATCCCACTCCTGGGCATATACCCTGATAAAACCATAATTCAAAAAGAGTCATGTACCACAATGTTCATTGCAGCTCTATTTACAATAGCCAGGACATGGACGCAACCTAAGTGTCAATCGACAGATGAATGGATAAAGAAGAGGTGGCACATATAGACAACAGAATATTACTCAGCCATAAAAAGGAATGAAATTGAGTTATTTGTAGTGAGGTGGATGGACCTAGAGTCTGTCATACAGAGTGAAGTAAGTCAGAAAGAGAAGGACAAATACCGTATGCTGACACATGTATACGGCATCTAAAAAAAAAAAAGGTTCTGACGAACTTAGGGGCAGGACAGGAATAAAGAGGCAGACATAGAGAATGGACTTGAGGACACAGGGAGGGGGAAGGGTAAGCTGGGACGAAGTGAGAGAGTGGCATGGACATATATACACTACCAAACGTAAAATAGATAGCTAGTGGGAAGCAGCCGCATAGCACAGGGAGATCAGCTTGGTGATTTGTGACCACCCAGAGGGGTGGGATACGGAGGGTGGAAGGGAGACACAAGAGGGAGGAGATATGGGGATATATGTATATGTATAGCTGATTCACTGTGTAATAAAGCAGAAACTAACACACTATCGTAAAGCAATTATACTCCAATAAAGATGTTAAAAAATAATAATAAAAAAATAAAATAAAATAATTACTCTTTTCTCAGCCTCACACACCTTGAATCTTGTTTCACATATATCGAAAGTGACAATATTTCAGATAAAGATTACAATACAGGGTAATATTGTGATACAAAAATTACAGAATTTGTTAAAAATCTGTTTAAATCATGCAATCAATGCTTCAAAACTGTAACTAGGAAATAAGGTACTATCGTTGGTATGATTTATCTGTAAACTTTAACTGTCTTCATAAATCCTACTTCTTGGTAGGTCTGTTCTAACCAAGATACGTATGTACCACTTCTGGTTCCAATGAGATCTTAGAAAAGCATTAGGGGTTAAAGAGCATGCTGGCCCCCTTAGTGCCTGTAGCGCCTGGAAGCCAGTACAGTACATGGTGCAGCGTGTTCCCTTCTTGGTTTATTTCATCAGGAAGCAGCCTCAGGAAGTTTTGCCAATGAACCGATTGTGCAAAATTCTACATCTTCCAATGCACATTCTGGGTCCTTATTAATAAATCTCATGGAGTGATTACCATTTGTTTTCGTCTCATAAATGACATTCTTTATACGTGTGACCTTCATGTCAGGTACAAATATAAAATTATGCAGAAATCCATTTGATGATTTAATACATATTCATTAAGAGTTAGTTACAAAAATAAAAATACTCAAAATAGCTTGATGGCTGTAAATTAAACCATTTTTAACAGGTCATTTGATAGAATGTTCATTTAACCCATCACTACATACTAATTATAGACACACATGAAAATTTTATCAAGACTTACAGTGTATAAGAGTGTTTTGGAGGGCTTCCCTGGTGGCGCAGTGGTTGAGAGTCTGCCTGCCAATGCTGGGGACAGGGGTTCGGGCCCTGGTCTGGGAGGATCCCGCATGTCGCGGAGCGGCTGGCCCCGTGGGCCACAATTACTGAGCCTGCGCGTCTGGAGCCTGTGCTCCACAACGGGAGAGGCCGCGATAGTGAGGGGCCTGCATACCGCGATGAGGGGTGGCCCCCGCTTGCCGCAACTAGAGAAAGCCCTCGTGCAGAAACGAAGACCCAACACAGCCATAAATAAAAAATTAAAAAAAAAAAAAAAAAAAAAGTGTTTTGGAAAATAACCCCAAACTGAATTCCATAAAAAGTATTATACCTGAGCAATGATTTGTTCTCCATCGTTGTATACTTTGGTGCCTATCACATCTACCACTTTCAGGCGCTCAGAAACCTATAAAGAAAAAAAAGATAATACACTTGATAATACTGTATTTGTATTTAATAATACAAATACACTTGTATTTGATAATACAACTGGGTTTGAACCGTGCAGGTCCACTTATATGCAGATTTTTTTCAATAAATATACAGTTGGCCCTCTGTATCCACAAATGTGGAACCCGGGGGCTAAGGAGGGACCAGTGTGAGGGACTTGAGCATCCGCAGATTTTGGTATCCACCGGGGTGGTCCTGGAACCAATCCCCGTGGAAACATAGGGACAACTATATTAAACAGACTAATCAGGTAGGTAATCGTAACTATTTCAGGGGTTTAAAAACAGTAGCCTATAGGCCAAATAAATTGAGCAGTCTGTGGGTTTGTATGTGTGCATGTGTGCGTTATATTAACTGCCAGCATTTTGAACAAATTTTTCATAAAAACTTAAATTTCCAGCTTCTCTTGAAGAATCAGGGCATTCAGCAACACTCAGCCCTCATTTCCATGCAGCAAAAAATAAACTCTGGTGGACTAGCAGCTGTTTCTTTAGATGGAGCACATGTTTTCAAGTTTACCATTTCTTCTTTTTATGTACCTAGCTCTGAAGGCATTTGAATTTCCAACCCCTGACCTATTTTTATTTAAAGAGATCTACTGCTGGAGAAGATCAGCTGCCCAATATGCATTCTGAAACGTGGCCCGAATTGCTTGCTACTCGGTGGATGCTGACAAGCCAACAAAGAGACATGTTAGCAGACTGGTCCATCAACCCCAAGGATTCTGGCTGAGATGCTAGAAGAATGGCATTGCTATCGCTAAGGTGGGGAAGAGAGGGAAGAAGATTTGGGATGTGTTAGGTCTGAGATGTCTTTTAGACATCCCAGAGAAATGTTAAATATGCAGTTAGATAAATGAGCCTAGTCTTCAAGGGCAGGGCCTTGCCCGGTGATGTCAATTTTAAGAAGCATCACCATAATAGACATTTAAAGCCAGGGGACTTGCCAAGTTCACCGTGTGGATAAGTGTAGCCTGAAAAAAGAGAGACCTTAGACTGTCAATTTTAAGAGGAAAGGAGGAAAGGAATAAAGAAGGAGAGGCCAGTGAGGACATTCTGTATTTAGATGACCTCTTCCTATAAAGGCTCTTGCCTACATTTATGTGATTAGTTTAAGTCTGCTTTTAGATAGAGACCACACATAAATCTGCTATAGATGCTCCTAGGGGTCTATTACTTGTAAATGACAAAACAAATGCAGTTACAGGCAGTAAAAGAGATACTAAGCTATAAAAACACTGTAATCTTTTCAAATGAAAATATGGATAGATTATTATTCAAAGAAACCTTCTACAGAACTAAGTATTCCTAACAAATCTTTTAAAGCAAAATAAAATAAAAGCACAAACATATACTTACTTCCAAAGATTTAAGGAATGGCAGTGACTCAATAAAGCTTTCATACATTTTTCTCTTTTTGGCATTATTTTTTACAATTATCCTCCTGAAGGTTACCCTGTCCTAAAGGCAGAATATCAAATACAAAGATAGTTAAAAGGTAGACTTTATGGAGAAAGAAAGTTTGAAGAAATAGTTTCATTTTATTCCCTGTAAGGAACAAACAATAATTGAAGATTTTGAAATAGAAAATTAACATTACTATCCTTCTAATATGACTCATTTCAGATTTTTATTTCTTTAAGCAAAAATATAGAACCATATTCATGTTTTTTAAAGAAAGCAACAGTTTACTTTTTATTCAGAACAGAGATCTGACCAACATGTAACTGGCGGGCTACACCCACTAGGTGGCGCTGTCGCACCATTTAAAAAATATACCAGCTCCTTGCTCGTTTTCCACCCCCAGCTTTTTGAGATACAATTGACCTACAGAATATTGTGGAAGTTTAAGGTACACAACATGTTGATTTGATATATATTGCTGAATGATTACCACAGTAGGGTTGGTTAACACCTCTATCACCTCACATAATTACCACTTCTTTTTTGTGGTGACAACGTTTAAGATGGACTCTCTTAGCAGCTTCCAAGTATGTAACACAATATTGTTAACTATAATCATCATTTGTACACTGGATCCTCAGAATTTATTCATTTTATAACTGCACTGTCCCCCACCCCCAGGCCCTGGCAACCACCATCCTACTCCATTTCTATGAGTTCAAACTATCACTGAGTTCTTTTGCTATAGATAACAGCCCTGGAGTGTTACAATTCGGTGGGACATGACTAGCATTGTTTTTGAGGTATAACTGGCATACGACATTATATTAGCTTCAGGCATACAACATAATGATTCAACATTTGTACATATTGTGAAATGATCACCACAATAAGTCTAGTTAACATCCGTCACCTCACATAGTTACAGAATTTTTTTTCTTATGATGAAAACCTTTAAGATATACTCACACAGCAACTTTCAAATATACAATACAGTATTATTAACTGTAGTCACCCTGCTGTACATTACATCCCCAGGATGTATTTATAACTGGAAGTTTGTACCTTTTGACTGCCTTCACCCATGACCAGCATTTTTATAAAAAACAAAACAAAACAAAACCAGAATAGGAAATCTGAGTGTGCATCCCTTTTAGTAAAGTGTTGAGTTATATATTTATTTCAGTTATACACAAAGGCACACACACACATGCACTGGTAGTGACATTTCCTAGTGTGTTTCTTGTGGGTTGCGGTAAAAAATACATGAAAACCATTATTAGAAAATGGTTTTAAATCATGAAAGTACAATGTAAAGAGATGCTGAAAAATTATTGACTCTAGGGTTTCTGTCACCTTTTAAAAAAGGTGCACAGAAAAACTACAACCTTCTTGAGTAGACTCTGATTCCACTGTTCATCATGCTCATCATTCTAAAATGTCCCTATGTTTATACTACTTGACCTCAAAGATACCACACTGAATTAAGGAACTAGAGAAAACTTTAAAGGTAACAGCTCAAAAAATGGTTTTCCTACAAATTTTATATTTTAAAAATGCCTACAAAACATTATTTTAGCTCTCAGTTAAGAGCCCCTAGAATTATGTTACTTCAGCATACACTGATAACTATACCACCTTAATATAAAATAAAATTAATTGGGATATATTCTTTAATTAATAAATTACTATGCCAACATATTAGGGCTGAATTTAAATGAACTGATACAATGGAGAAAAATACCAGTGAGGATATAAGTCTCTAGGAAATTAAACATCCTGTTCTCCAATTTAGTTTACTACAATTTTATAAGGGCTGTAATTTGGACTTGTACTCTTAATCATTTTTTTAAAAAGAGAAAAAATTTCAAGATAATCAGTAAAACTACTGAAATAATTTCCAAGTCTGGTTCTGCATCAGAATCAGCTGTTGTGTTTTTTTTAAAAAAGGTTTATTCTAACATCCCAGACTTTAATGACTCAAAATCTCTGCATATAGGACTCTATAATAATCTATATTTCGTAAAAGCTCCCCGAGTGATTCAGATCAGGTCTGGGAACCAGATGCAACACCATTTTATGAACAGAGTTTACTGCAAAACAGAGAAGACTAGAAATAGGTTAGCAATTTAGAAATTAACCGTAATGAGCTACACATCTCAGGAAAAATTTTCTATTAGTGGCCCACCTCTTCACACCCACTGTGACATATAAATAAAATCCACAAAGTCCCATTTCAAATGTTTTCATCCTAGTCATTTCAATCAATCATTGCCCCTCTGTATCACCAGCATGGTCTTGTAGATCAGTTGATTCCCCCAAGGCTAACAGTGACCTAGTCTTATTTACAAAGTTAAGACTATTCTACAAAGGACTTTTCTCTTGAGATTTGCTTATCTTTACACGTGCACTTATGTGGCAGCGCTCCAACCTGTTGGTCTTAAAAGCAAAATCTCTTTTCTACTCAGCTTTTGCTGAAAGGGGGCTAGTTAGGCGAGCTGCTAAGAAAGCAGGTTTGAAGTATTAATTATGTTAATTATTATAATTTTTTAAAAACACCTACTGCACTTATGCACATCCCCAAGGTGATCATCACAAACTGCCCACTTTCATAAAGCTTGAAACATGTACAGATTAGTAAAAAAAATCTCTGAAAATGCTTAATTCTACCTGAGAACATAAGCATCACACGCACTGGGAAATGCTGGGCCCTTGTCGCTAGTTTAAGGTTCCTTCCAGGGCTGAGAACTTTCAGTATTCAAAGGGCCAACCCGCTAAGTGTGTGACCTTGTTCCAAGGACCTGCAGGGAGAAGCCTTCCTTACCATGTGACAGTCTGACCCTGGCTGGCAACCCTATCAGGATAATTAAATTTTAAATGATACCTTCCTTAATGAAAGAGATAGAGACCCACGGCTGTGAGGGCAGGCAAATGCTTCCTAGGGGCCAAGTCCGCTCGGGTTTGGAGTGTTTATTTTGCTGGCTTTGGGTATTCCAATCCTTGACAACCCTTAAGACACTTCAGCTCCCTTCCACCTGAAACAATTCCAATTTTGCTTCCACCACTTAAAAAGTGACTCATCACATTTTTAATAAGTAAACAGCAACTGCCTGGGTCTAATAAGAAGAAATGCACAATATGTCATTTCTCTGATCAAGAGCTAATTTTATCAGTTGGATCCACGTGGGAGTCAAAGGCTGAGTGGTGACTGAATAATGTGTAACTTCTCTGAAGCTACAGTCCTTGGGAAGGAGATTGTTAGCAAACTTCCTGTTACTTCAATCTCGTCTCCTTCCACAAAAGGATTTGAGAGAAATAACCAAGTAAACGCATGTCAAAACTATAGGATGGGATGTTCTCAACAATTTTAAAAGGAAACACAAGTATTGTCAACACTCCCTTTAAATCAGGGCTGTTTAAAGTGTGTTCTGGGCACCGGCAGCCACTGGTGTCTGCTGGGAGCTGGTGAGAAATGCAGAATCACAGGCCTCATCCCAGACCCGGTGAATCTGAATCTGCATTTTAACTGGATTCCCAGGTGATCCCTAAGCACCAGATTAAACACAGTCCAGGGCTTCCCTGGTGGCGCAGTGGTTGAGAATCTGCCTGCTAATGCAGGGGACACGGGTTCGAGCCCTGGTCTGGGAAGATCCCACATGCCGCGGAGCAACTAGGCCCGTGAGCCACAACTACTGAGCCTGCGCGTCTGGAGCCTGTGCTTGGCAATTAGAGAGGCCGCGATAGTGAGAGGCCCGCGCACCGCGATGAAGGGTTGCCCCCACTTGCCGCAACTAGAGAAAGCCCTTGCACAGAAACGAAGACCCAACACAGCCAAAAATAAATAAATAAAAAATTTAAAAAAAACAAAAAACACAGTCCAGAATCAGCTTGACTTGGGTCAGCTACTCTGCATCCTAAGATCATCTATGAAAAGAACCTCCCTCCCCCGCAACCCAAATTTTTTTTTTTTTTTTTTACTTTGCTGTGCCGGGTCTTAGTTGCAGCACATGGGATCTTCATTGCAGCATGTGGGATCTTTAGTTGCGGCATGTGGGGGTCTTAAGTTGCAGCATGTGAACTCTTAGTTGTGGCATGTGGCATCTGGTTCCCCGACCAGGGATTGAACCCGGGCCCCCTGCACTGGGAGCATCGAGTCTTGGCCACTGGACTGCCAGGGAAGTCCCCCAAATGTCTTTAAACCAACTTTTAAGTCTTGTAGAAACAGCACCATTAAGAAATTTTCTTTAAAAGCCTGGGTCTGAGAGTCCCAACCCTGAGAGTCTGATTAAGTCTGTCTGTGGTACGGCCTAGGTAAGAGAATTTTCTTTTTTAACACCTCCAAGAAATTCTGATGTGCATCCACGTGAGAAGCACAGGTACCAAGTATTTTTTCTCCACACAGCCGCTTGGCAATGCAAAGTTGTTACCAATCAATTTATACAGCATGGAGAGACTCAGTTTATAGTGGTTTCTCAAGCATGCATGAGAATCACCCAGTGGGCTTGCTCAAATACAGACTGCTGGGCCCCATCGCCAGAGTTTCTGAGTCAACGGGACTGAATCAGTAAGCGGGGTGTCAATTTGCATTTCTAGCAAGTTCCCAGGTGATAGGGATGCTATAGGTCAGGGGCCCACACTCTGGGAACCACAGATGATAATATTTACCACAGATAGCTATCTGAAAAAACAGCACTGAAGCCTTTGTTTGTGTGGCTGGTTGGTTTTTAAGAGTGGGTAAAAGAGGAACATTTTGGATCTGAGTGTCTTTCCCACGGCCAGTAGGTTAAACTCCTGACTCAATTTGGGAAAAGAACATGAAGATTTAGCTCAGCACAGTCCTAGTGTCCAATAGTTCAGCATCTAGTAGTTGCTTAATAAATTCCCTGATGACTGATGATGATCCCAAATAAATCTACCTATTAGAACTAAAATACTGTAGCCACTTGGCTTCTGTCTTAATGATTTTTACAAATGACATTCAGGACAAATAAATACTTCACTCACCAAGCCCCACAGAGCACCGGGAGAGGTAGCAGTGATTGTAGCTGCTCTGGGCGTATTGTACATTAAGGCCAGTTCGCCAAAACTCCCACGATTGTCATAGTTGCCAACACACCTTCCAACACCATCACATTTCACGTAGATATCAAATGTTCCTCTGTTGCACATGTGAAAAAGAAAACGTAAAAGTAATTCAAGTAAAATCTCGTCATGATAAAACATGAGCCCTGGGAAATACAACCTCATTCTTTTTTTAAAAAAAATCATTTATTGCTTAGTCTTATTGCTGGGACATAATAACACATTCACCCAGTTAAAATTTTAAATGTCTAGAAGGGTGAATAGTGCCCTGGCCCAGCCATTCAGTTTCCTCCCAGATCCGCCACTGCCCCCAGCTTCTTCTATATCCTTGAAGAGGTCTTTACGTCGGGGAGAAGCAGGAAGGAGCTGGCTGGGTGCACTGGGAGCCTTCCGCAGGCACAGTAAGGCAACAGGGGTCCTCCCTGAGACACAGGACACACCCAAGGGTGGCAGCTGAGGATGGGCTCTTAGTTTCCTTTCCCCTCTAATGACAACAAGGAATAAAAGGGCATCAATATGTGAAAAAGACACCACCAGTTCCAGACAAGCAGGAAGAAGAGAGCATCCACGGGACGAGGGTAAGGCCCATCCACGTGCCTGTTGTCTCATCGTCTGGGGCAAATGAGACTAAACAACAAATATTTAAGGTATTGAAATAAATGATAAAAATATAACTAAGACTGCAACCAAATGCAATATGCCAAGACAACCACCTGAAGGAATGTGTGTGAGTCTGCTGACTGCAGTGACCTCTGAGTATAAGAACTGGGGAGGATTCTAGGGACATTCACTGTGTAATTAAAGAGTTTTTGTTTCTAAAATGAGTATGTATTACTTTTGAGATCAGAAGAAAAAAATTCTTAAAAAGAATATAGCTCTAACAATCTGGTCAGGCACTGCTGTACAGTACTTACAGGGTCCTTTATCATCTACAGGAGGGGCCAGCAAGCTGAGGCCCAAGACTGGCTGCCTGCTTCTGTAAATCAAGTTTTATTGGAAAGACAAACACACCGGCGGTTTCTGCATTCTCTGTAGCTGACTTCTGCTATGACAGCAGAGTTGAGTAGCTGCAACATAGACCTCATGGCCCAGAAAGCCTGCAAAATTTACTCTCTGGCTCTTTATACCATCTGGCCCTTCATGTTAGACTGACCCCACAATCTAAAAGTGGTAGAAATTCAGGCTAAATATCTGATCCTGGTCTTTTTATAGTCTTTCTGTGCTTATCTTTTAATTGGGTTTCTTTTTCTAGGCAAGTAAAACAGTCACTGTGCTGCATATTATCCAGATCCTATATTTCTGGAAACTGCATTCTTGTTGTGGAGAACTGGTTTTCCATGTACTGTATCTTATCAGAGAACACGGTTTCAAGGCTTGCTGAAACACCTGTGAGGGCAGACAGGAGAAATTCTTTGGCTTTATTCTGTTGGCTAAACTCTAGCAAAGACAAAACAGGGAGTGCTTTGAAGATTAAGAGAGGATTATGAATAGTAAAGATACCACAAAAGCAAACAATAAGATATTAGAGACAAAAGATATTCATGAATAAGAATAACTGGCTTTTAATATAATTCACGGCTAGAATGGCTGTTTCAGGGATACCCTCTGGAATTTGTTTCATGAATAGTTATTTTTCAAGTATAGATTAATTTTTCTATTTGTACTCTTTACACGTTTGCACGAAAACTGTTTTCTACTTTGAATAGGATAAAATACACAACAAACATGTTGACGAGAAGTATAGTGAGCTACTAGTCCAGTTGAAATCATATCAGTCTAAAAATCTGCTAAAATACCGTGTGCTGCATTTTCATACAGATTTCTCCCCTGAGAACGTGAAGCCCTGGGCAGGGCAGAGCCACGAAAAGAGCACACACAGTGGCCAAGAGACCCAGATGCTGGGTCTGCTCCACACTCATCATCTGGGTGACCTTCACCGACTCGCATCACTTCTGTGGGCCTGAAAATTGTCATCTGTCGAAAGGGTGACGAGGATCTAACTAAAAAGGGAAGGTGCTATACACAAACGTAAGGCGTTTTTATAGTCAAAATACCTACTAAAAGAAAATTATTCCTGTACTACCTTTGGGGTTCGCATGGACCCCTACAATTCAATACGATTAAACAGCTGAGTGAATTTCTGAGGTGTTTCATTGATGAAAGCTGTTAATGGTACCAGAATCATGACTTTAATTTACATGTGGGACAATTCTAAAATCAGAGTCTAGCCCCAGCCCTGGCTAGTGCAGCTCTCCCGGGTCAACACGGACTTAGGGGTGAGGGACTGAGGGACTCAGAGAGCATGTGCTACTGATGCATGAAAGGTACCACCCACAGAGCCCACATCAGGGAACAAGTGCTAAGCAGACGGGGGCGGGGGGGGGGGCGGGGATTTTCTGCGGAGCCTCTGAGTAGAACACAACTTGGCCCAGAGAAGCAAATGTAATCCGACAAATCAGGCTGGGAGATGATCTGTGTTCCAGGCAAACAGGGTGGGCGTTGGTGGTGGTGGGGGGGGGGGGGGGGGGGGCGGTGATTTTCTGCGGAGCCTCTGAGTAGAACACAACTTGGCCCAGAGAAGCAAATGTAATCCGACAAATCAGGCTGGGAGATGATCTGTGTTCCAGGCAAACAGGGTGGGCGTTGGTGGTGGTGGGGTGCTTGGGGAATCCAAACGTCTCATCAACACCTCATCACCACGTTACAGAAGTGCAGAAATGAAGACTCAGTCCAGGCTGCACACCTTTTACATCTTAGGGTTGTTACCTAAGTATTGCTAAAAGCACACTGTTCTTTTTTTTAATGTTATTTTAATTTTTTATAGCTGATTTTAATTTAATTTTATTTTTTGATACAGCAGGTTCTTATTAGTTATCTATTTTATACACATCAGTGTGTACATGTCAATCCCAATCTCCCAATTCATCCCCCGCCGCCACCACGCTTTCACCGCCTGGTGTCCATACGTTTGTTCTCTACATCTGAAAAGTACACTGCTCTTGGATGAAGTCAAGCACAACTTAAACTTTCTAAAATTAGATTTTCAATATAAATGCAGGCCTTCTCACTTAAATAACTTCTCTACAGAGTTTTTAATACACAAATATGATAATGCATAAACAATTTCTGGAGACACACGCAAATTACTCACTCTGCTGATTAGATGATGCTAAAGCAGTAGGAAGAGAGACTAACTTTTCACCTTAGGCTCCTCTGAAATATCTGAATCTTTTAAACCATTAGCATGTTTTGCTTCATTAAGTAATAACAGAAGAAACTTTTTAGAAAACATAATAACAGATTGAGTTATATGGATTCAATATCCCAGATGTTGTATTATGCTGCTATTCTCACAGTAACAGCCATCTCTAACTCTGTAACAGGCATCACTACCTCTCAATTAGAAGTTAACAAATGAGGAGGCTCCCAGTAAATGACAGATTTCTAGATTAACCAAAAGTCACCAGTCTTCCATACACTATGCCTCTTTCCATGATGTAGCATGGTTTCACTGTATGGGTTCACTGTAGGTGTGCAGGGCCAGTTACACAGGAATAAGGGTAAAGAGGGAATAGCAATTATCGTACATTAATCTGTCAGGCGTTACAATAGCCACTGAGATTTCCACAAAAGGTTCATTACCTTTCAGCAGTGAAGTTACACAAAACTTACCTATCAATTACATAAAAGTTGTCGCCATCATCACCTTGATCAATTACATGTTCCCCTTCTTTGACCAATTTTTCAAACATGGCATCTAATACTTGAGACATCTGCTCCTATTTTTCAAAAAAGAAAAGATAATCTTGGTTTATCTAGAACATGTTTAGCTTTATATTTAAAGAACCATAATTAGCTTATACTTCTGTGAACAAGCTCAAAGAAATGGAAATATCATCACTGCCATTAAGTCTTGTCAAAAAAAAATACAGAGGGCTTCCCTGGTGGCGCAGTGGTTGAGAGTGCGCCTGCCGATGAAGGGGACGTGGGTTCGTGCCCCAGTCCGGGAAGATCCCACATACCGCGAAGTGGCTGGGCCCGTGAGCCACGGCCGCTGAGCCTGTGCGTCTGGAGCCTGTGCTCCGCAGCGGGAGAGGCCACAGCAGTGAGAGGCCCGCGTGCCATACACACACACAAAAAATACACAGAACAGTCCTCCTCACCACATACAAACCAGATGATTATATATTTCCTCTCATATTCAGTACCTGAATAAAAGTAATTATAATTAGTCTATTTTGGAATATTTGCAACTATCCCCATTTTAATATGAAAAATTAACCACCAAGCCATCATATACCTTGTGAAATATAACCTTAGCAACTAAAATGATCAAGTTAATAAAGAACTATTGCAAATGTCTTTTAAAGATACCTAAACTTTTAAAAAACTTCCCTATTTTAGTCATCACTAGAATTTATATAGAGATTACCTAAATAGTTAGTGAATTTAAATCCTGACTCCAATCCTTCTTGGTTTAGCACTAAAAACAAAATAGAAACCAAACCAACAAAAGCAAAACCAAAAAAGATTGTAGCCAATATTCCATCACTATCTTTTGTCACTAAGGTTCTCTTCAAGAAGCAACCATGTACCTCCCTAGGACAGATTTATTAAAACTGAAGCCAGAAACATCAAACCTATCAGTCAACAACTATTTACAAAGTTTTATTCTGCTAAAGTGTGCTTGTCAAGGCTTAAGGATAAACCTTGGCTAGTGAGAATAAACTAGGAGGCGAAAGAAATCTTTCCTCAGAACAAATACAGGAACAATTCAAAAACCTCTGAATAGTTAAAAACAAATGGATATGGAGAAACAGTATGGTGCACAGTAACAGAAAAGTCAGAAGTCATAAGAAGGCTTCAAGTCACTCCCAGGCCAAAATCAATTACTATTTAATAAACAAATTAAGGAGCTGAAGACAGATTAGAGGGGGAAAAAGATGCAAGTGGAAAACACAGGTTGAAGAAACAAAATATTCTGGATCAGAGCATGAACAGACCACGTGTGATTCTCTTCTTTTTGAGACGCCATTAACATATTTCATAGAGACTATCAAGGTAAGACTCCACAACCATGAGAATGGGAAGGGGAAACTGGAGGAGAGATTTCTAGAGCAAAGGGAAGTTAAATGGGGGCAGAGACAGCATGCAGCCCAGAGAAGGGCAGGTGGGCCTGCAGTGTAGAGGGACTGACCACCTATCAGAGCTCCAGAGGCTCCAGACTGGGAAACACCCAGTCCGGTCAGAACGGGACTGAGACACAGCTGAAACAGGTAGACCGATTCAAAATCCTCCACTATCAGTTGACACCTTCCTTTCAAATGCCTCAACCCTGAACACAGAACACCTGGCAACCAAATATTAACCCCAATTCTTCCCAGACAAAAGATCAGAGTCAGGTTCTTGGGAGAAACTAAATAAATAAGAGAGAACTAGAACAGCTACTGTGAAGATTGGTGCCCTGGAACAAGGACCTTCACTTGCTGGGATGACGGGTTCCCCCATGTTAACAGCTGGCCCCCTGTCACTCAACCAGCAGGATACTGGTGGACAGCCCTGCCATACTTATTCAGGGCTCCACATCAGCTTTCCGTGGCCCCTCTGGTAGCCTACAAGACTAAGATAAACAGCAGTATGACACCAAATGAGCTAGAAAATTCAAGAACAGTGATGAGCTTTCAGAAAGTTCTACTTTGTATACCCAGAGATGTTCAAGACAATGTTATATCCATGAGATGAAAAACAGGATATTTAGAAAAAGAGCCAATCAGAGAAAAATGGGTAAGTTGAAAACTGAAAACATGATTACCAAAATTTTTTCTGCCTTTTAAATATTTTATTTTTGAGAGCAGTTTTAGGTTCACAGCAAAATGGAGCGAAAAGCATAAAGAGTTCCATAAACCCCCTGCCTCCACCCAGGCTCTCCCCTACTGTCAACATCCCCACCAGCAGGTACATTTATTACAAGTGATGAACCTGCACCGTCATTATTATCATACAAAGTCTGCAGCTGACATCTGGGTTCACCCTTCGTGCGGTGCTGTACACTTGGTGCGTTTTGACAAATGTGTAACATGTACCCCCCATTACAGAATTTTCTTGTAAAAGAACTAAGAAGGTAAATTAAAATAAAAACTTCAAAGAAAGTCGACAGATGAAAAGACAGAAGTTCCAGACAAAGTGATATTAGAGATAACAAAGGGGAGAAAATAATCAAAGAAATATGCAATGAATTTTCCAGAACCACAGGATGTAAGTTTTCAGACTGAAAGGGCTCACTCAAGGGCCCGGCACAATCAAGGACCAGAACCTCCACACCCACACAACAGTGTGGTTTTAGAACATCAAAGGTACAGACCTGACCTGCAAAGCTTCCAGAAAAGGGGGAAGGAGCTCTTAAAAACACAAAAAGATGTTCAACTTCTTTCAAAATAAAGAGGAATGCAAATCAAAATTGAAAGGAGATACCCTTTTTCACCTGCCAGATTCAGAAACATAAAAATGTTAGACTAACACACTGGTGGAGATGGTGTGGGAAGGAGGGTTCCTCCGGCAGACGGCTGATGGGAACGGGTCTCAGAGGGCGCACTGTTAACAGTCAGTATCATTTCAAACACGCTACCCGTCACCTCACTATTCCTTGTCTAGGAAGTTATTCTATAACACATTTGTGAAATGACATGTGCATGGGCATTTTTCACTGCAAAATGTGCTTTGTAATAGCAAAGAATTGAAAACTCAAGTTTATCTACAGGTCTCTGGATAAATAAGTTTGATACATCCATGCATTGGAAAGCTATGCAGCTATTAAAAAAAAAAAGTATGGATTTTAAGACCCCTATCCTTTACTGGAGTTGCTGACAAGCACGAGAACACTCAAAGAAGGGCAATCAGGAAATCTGAAACCCTGCTGTAGGAGGAACTTCAGCGAACACATGCTATCTGCAGCCACAATGATGATGTCGGTGATTCCAGAGGCCAGGACTGGGACTGCTGGGTGGAAGTTTCTGGAGATTTTGGAACAATGTAAAGACCTGCCTAAGAAGGACAGCTGTCTCGCAGTGACAGGGCAAAGAGATGAGCTCCCTGTTCCTGTCAAGACAGGCTCCCCACCTTCCACATGCTGTCAAAAGGGCTCAGTGGTTTTCAAACTGTTTTCTGGAAGCCAGGGATTTTGAGGAGGTGCTTCAGTGATCGATTCTGTAAGCAGTTGATTTTTTCAAACCATTTTTTAGAATTGAAGTATAGTTGATTTACAAGGTTGTGTTAGTTTCAGGTGTACAGCACAGTGATTCAGTTATACACATACATTGCAGAGTTTTTTCCCCTTATAGGTAATTACAAGATGTTGAATATAGTTCCCTGTGCTATATAATAGATTCTTGTTGATTATCTATTTTATATATAGTAGTGTGTATATGTTAATCCCAAACTCACTCTTAAAGTGTGTTCTAACCACTAAATATTAAAACTAAAGTAAATCAACATGTTCGGTTGGATTACATATACATTTTTTATGAAGTAAAATTTCATGTCACATAAAATTAACCATTTTAAAGTGGACTAGTGGCCACAAAGTTGTGCAACCACCACCTGTACCTACTTTCAAAACATTTCCGCAAAAGGGAACCGTGCACCCATTAAGCAGTCACTCCCCATTCTCCCCTCCCACTCGGCCCTGGCAGCCACCAATATGTTTTCTGTCTCTATGGATTTACCTATTCTGGATATTTCATATAATTGAATCACACAATACATGATCTTTTGTGTCTGGCTTACTTCATTCATTATAATGTTTTCAAGGTTCACCTATGTTATAGCATATATCATACTTCATTCCTTTTTACGGATGAATAATATTCCACTATATATATATATACGAACACACACCACAATTTACTTACCCATTCACCTGTCGATGGACACTTGGGTTCTTTCCACCTTCTGGCTATTGTGAATAGTGCGACTATGAACATTCATATACAAGTATTCACTGGCACACCTGTTTCAATTCTTTTGGATCTACACCTGGGAGTGAAATTGCTGAGTCATATGGTAATTCTATGTTTAACTTTTTGAGAAATGGCCAAGCTGTTTTCCACAGTGCTTGGACCATTTTACTTTACCACCAGCGATGTAGCAGGTTCCAACTTCTCCACATCCTTGCCAACACCTGTTATTTTCCTTTTTAAAAAAACGATACCCATCCTAGTGGGGGTGAAGTGGTATTTCACTGTGGTTCTGACTTGTATTTCCCTAGTGACTAACCATGCTGAGAATCTTTTCATGTGCTTATTGGTCATCTGTATATCTTCTCTAGAGAAATGTCTATTATTCAAGAACTCTGCACATTTTAAAGTTGGGTTGTCTGTCCTTTTGTGGTTGAGTTCTAAGTGTTCTTTCCATATTCTGAATATGAGGCCCTTCTATAAAGCTCTTCTAAGAGTTTTATAGTTTTACAGCTTACATTTAGGTCTTTGATCCATTTTGAGTTAATTCTTGTACTTGGTGTGAAGTAGGAGTCCAACCTTGTTCTTTTGTGTGTGGATACCCAGTTGTCCCAGCACCATTTATTGAAAAGACTATTCTTTCCCCAGTGAATGATCTTGGCATTTTTGTTGAAATCAAATGGCCATAGATGTATGGGTTTGTCTCTCGACTCTCAACGCTATTCCATTGTTCTGTATGTCTATCCCTATGCCAGTAACACACTGTTTTGATTACTGCAGCTTTGAGATGAAAGTTTTGACATTGGTAAGTGTGAGTCCTTCAACTT